CAAAAAAACAATCTCTTGATTTTATGAGTTATATTAACATATATCAGAAGAGCATGATTATTCAGTTTGGATTTCTTTATCACTTTTTCAATATCATGGACTTGAAATCGTTATTTAATAAAGTTTTGAGTTTCGTCCAGTGTCATACATTTTAGTTTATTAAACACGGCGTATCACGTTTTATCTTAAGTTAAAAATTTAAAAATAGTGCAATTTTCAAGTAATTAGCACGATAGAACAACTTCATCAAACACACACACACACACACACACATATACATATATATATAAATATACTACTCTGGGTTGTAGACAGGGGGGATGTTTTGGATATACCCCCCCCCCCCTGAAATTTCTTTCGTCTCTACAAAAAAAAAGAGAAAGTTTGTTTGTTTGTAATTAAGCACAAAGCTACCCAATGAGCTATCTGTATTCTGCTCACCACGGGTATCGAAACCCGGATTCTGGCGTTGTAAATCCGCAGACATACCGCTGTGCCACTGGGGAGCGAAAGAAGAAAGAGGGGGAGAGCAAATACATTTTTAAAAATAAAGTATGCCGTATTTATATTATATACTTATAATTATTATATATTTATTTTATATTCCACATATGAATTTTTCAAGTGTTATATTTTGATATATTACTATATTGTATTTTGAAATGTTTTTGTAATGGGGCTACTCCACTGAAATTGTTAAAAAATCAGAGCTAATTTTTCTAGAAAGGGAAAATACGCAAAATGTTAACTATAAGTCAAATGGAGTGCTTGGACTTGAACGTATTTTTTTCGGAGGATGTATTTTTCTAGAAATATTTTCCCCCCTCCAGAACCGAAATCCTGGCAATGGCCCCGATACTAATTATTTTAAACATTGAAAAATAATCTGTGATTATTTTTCAAAAACACTTTACGTATTTTGTTCCTTTTTGACGATAGCAACACGTTATATAATTGACAAGATTGCCAGTATTATTTTTTTCTGAAAAATACAATTTATTATTATTAAACATTTAATAAACGAAATGCTATAGAGAAACTTGAGGCTTTTCATAAACCCTTTTGAAAAAAAAAAAAAAAGATATTCGTAGTTTATCACTGTAGTTTATCTTATTCTTTTAAGGTTTAACATTTTAAGGCTGTGAAACAATAACTGGTTAATTATTACTGCTTAACCTTATTTATATAATTTTAGAGATGAAGGATTTATATATAACTAAAGCTTTACAAAACAATTATAAAGTCAGTTTTGTTTAAATTTGGTTTTTACTTTCACATAAATAAACAATGCAATGTAACCAGTAACCTTGTGAAAAGTAGAATTTCTCCCAAAAACATATTACTTAAATTAATTTACATTAATTAAAATATATATGATGAAAAGACATGAAAT